AAGTGATTTCAGGCCTCATGGATTTGCAGTTTTCTTGCCTTGCTGTCTGTCCTAGGAGTGGGGGTGGGCAGCCTCTGCTGAGTATTTGAGCCACTGTTTCATGGATGGTAGGCTAAGTCACATCTCTGGAGGCTTGTCTCAACACAGCAAGGCGGTGGGAACGTCTTGGGCACACACTGCCCCCTTCCTCTCTGGCCCCTGTCACTGTTCTTCCTGGCATCCTCTAACGCACCCCTTCACTTTCATCTTGTCATAAGAAAGCCAGTGTCTCAGAATGTCTCAGTGTGAGCCTATTCGTTCTGAGCATTTTCCTGGCTGAGGCACTGGGCCTTGGGATCCTGGAGTCTAAGGTAGAGCACGAGGCACTGCCTTATCCTACAAGAGTCACATAGAATGGGTGATAACCGGGTAGAGGGCATTAGTTCCTGGCACCCTGCAGCTACACAGTCTCGGTGGCTTCCTGTCATTTTGATGAACTGGGTTCCCAGGAAGCTGGGGAAACATGAGACTTGTTTTGGTCTGGTCAAGATGCATTCTCCCCCCCCCCCAACCCCACCGCTTGATACCCAGATTTAAGAGTGTGCCCTTGTCAGAGCTGTTTAAACAGACTTGCATATTGGCAAGGGGCTGGAGGCACCTGGGAGGGTTCATGAGTGGAAAAGTGACACTGTCTTGGATCCAGGGCTCCAGGGCTTGATGGCCCCTGCTGGGCACACATCTAAAGGCCTTGCTCCACCAGTGTGCCAGTCCCATTCTGGGCTTCAGCTCCTTACCTCTGGAGCCTCAGGCACAGGGGATGTGACAATACCTGTGCTGGTTTCCCAGTGGGTGGAAGTTACTTGGGGTCACTAGGGGAGAGGAAACGGCTGCCCACATCTGCCTTCCCACAGCCTGGGGCATGTGTGCTTACCCTCACACTGCCACCTGTGACTTCTGCAGGACCTCCCCTTTCTCCTAAACCTGGGAGGTGACAGAATGCACAGGGATCGCTGCATTCCCATTTCCCAAAGAGAAATCTTATGCTCACACGGTGAACTACATGCAGTCTGCTTGGGAAGTTTCAGAACCCCATTGGTGTGGTGACTGAGGCCAAACAGGCAGGTTAGCCATGGGAAGGCTGTGGAAATGTGTCCTCCCCTGTATCTGAGGAGAATTGCTAGGGAAAGCAGGGGGGAAGGGGTGTGGCTGGGGACATCTTTGCCCCATAACTGAGATGGCAAGGCAGACCAAGCAATTAACCACTAATGAAGACAGACCAGAAGGGTGGCATTCCAGGGTACTCTTGCCCAGATTGGCCTCAATTATAGGGCACAATTACCTGCTGAGGTGTTGTAGGGCAGTTGCCTGTACATGCCATACAAAGTTTTGGGGGGCACTCCTCAGCTGATGTGTTTACTTCTGGGAGACCACATCTGAAGCCAACACTTCCTTTAAAACATTCATCCCAATCAATCTACTCCCAAGAAATACTGCCCTTTGATCCCTAGCCTCCAAGATTCTTGGGTGGAAGTGGAAGTTCTGACTTCCCTATAAAGATACACAACTTCACTTTTGCCCCAGAATCCCACCTAGCTTTGGTGTGAAGGTGCAGATGGCCTCACCTCGGTTTCTGTTTTCTTTGGTGGGGATGGAGATGTCCCTATCTCCCTGAAGATAGACGAAGAACTGGTAGCGGTGTAAGCCAGTGGTCGGTGGGGGGCTAGGAGGCTGGTAGTCTGTAGGGAAAAGGACAAGAGACACAGGTGGACTCATCACCGTGCTACCCAGGGTGGAGCTCCTGCTTAGAGCATCTCCTGGCTGCTCTTGAAAAAAAAAAAAATTCAGCTGTTTTTTTCCATCCCTGGCGACCTTCCTAGTGTCACTCAAATAAAGTCACACCTATTGAGTCCCTCCCTCCCCCATTAGGATTTATGCTTGGTGAGATCTCCCCTTTGTGTGTTTATTTAAAGTGTCTGTTAGGGACAGGTAGGTGTGTTGTTGTTAGCAGTGGAACTTCAGGTTGGCATGGAGGGTTGAGGCTCCCAGGTGTTCTGGGCCAGGAGATGGGGCAGTTGGTGGTGTTCTGCTTTTGTTTTAGTCTATCCTGATCAATTTCCTGCCCCAGGAGAAACCCATCTTCCCCTATGAGTGTATTTGGCAGTGTGTTTTAATTAAATTTAATTCTTTTGTAAGGATTTCCTTATGAAGTCAATCCCTAAAGAAGCCAGTTTCTTGGCTGATTTGGGAGGATCTGGAAGTGGTTACTAGGGTGGGTGGGACTGGGTTCAAAAGGTCTGATCACAGGCACTGTAGGAGCTGGGAAGCTCCAGGCACTGGGGAGAAGGCTCCCTCCCTCTCATTCTCCCTCTTGGAGGTTGGCGCTTTTTTGGGAGGGTAAGATTGTAGGGTGAAGATATCCTTCCACTTTGCCTTGTACCTACACAGCAACAGGGGACTTGGTTGGCCTGGCCTAGGCCTTCTAAGCTGGAACTCTTTCCAAAGCTGCCTTGCCCCTCTCCACTTTCCTCTCCCCATTTTTCTTTCCAAGGAGGATATACAAGCTGGAGCCAAGAGTCTTCCTGGGTTGGGGTGGTGGTGGTGGGAGGGAAGGCATGATTGTAAGGAGGACGCTAGTGGGTGGGAATACTGATTCTTCATGGCCATCCTCCTCCTCCTCCTTTCCTCTCTTAACCATGAAACAAAAGGGGGACTGACTGTTGAGCATGGTTGGAAGTGGTTCTCATGATATATTTCTGGCCACTGGGCCACCAGCATACTGAGAGCCAGGGAATTTCCTGACTGTTCATCTTTCCCGTTGCAGATCAGATTGTGTGTGTGTGTGTGTGTGTGTGTGTGTGTGTGTGTGTATGCACGCTGAGGGAATAGAGCAGGGTCTGCCAAGAGCTGTGCTCATTTGTGTGGTTGAGGGTCTACAAGGAGGCAGGTGACAGCGTGCCAAGGCCCCCAGGCTGCTTTGGAACTTCGGAATTTAGGCAAATCAGGGGATTCCTCTCAAACACTTCCAGGGCTAAGAAAGACTTCCATCATGGGGAGTAAAATGACTGTCACTTCATGTACATGGGTGTGTGGAAGGCAGAGGTAACAGGTGGCCTCTGGCCAGGTTGGTGGGCTCAGGGATTCCCTAGTGGTCAGAATTCTGCATGGACAAGCATGAAATTAGACTTATGGATTTAATCTCAGGGAAATGGGGACTTACCCTTAACTCTCTTCCTCGGGCTTTCCTGAAGAAACCTCCCCCATTCAAAACCTCCAGGAGTGAAGATTTGGGAGTGGGGAGTGGGTCCCCCACATGTTGGCTGGGTACATAAATGACAACTTCCTACCACCCAGGCCTCAGTTAGATCTATTTTTATGAGGAGACTGAGGTTTTGAGAAGTGAGACTGGGCCCCCAGGAAGTGGAGCTGGAATTGGCCTTCATGATGCCAGCCGATGCTGCTTCATTCACGGACTGTGCGAGACCATTTGTCTTTAGTCTTTTGTCTGGGGCCCACTCGCCATCGGAGTATCCCCTTTAAATAGCATCCAAGGCACACCTTAAGGGTGGGGACCTCAGAAGGCAGGGAATGGGGGTCTAGGAGCCTGGGAAATGTAGTCATGAGTGCCCTCCAACCAGCTTGGCCCTTGGCTGGCCTAATGCCTTCCTAGCTACATGATAAGGGGAAGCCCCCCCTCCTTCTGCCTCAGCTTCTTTAAAAGTAGACCTAGGGCCTGGGGCTATGACTCAGTTGGTAGAGTACTTGCCTAGCATGCTTGAAGCTTTGGGTTCCATCACCAGTATGGCAGAAACCGAGCATGGTGTTGTATGCCTACAATCCCAGAACTCAAGGAGATAGAGGCAGGAGGATCAGAAGTTCAAGATAATTCTTGAGCTATGGTGAATTTGAGACCACCTTGAAATACATGAGACCCAGACTCAAAAAAATAAAACAAACATAAAAAACCCAAAAAGCAACCCCCCCAAAACCTGGATGTCAGTGACCTAGCCTGCAAGTAACCTCTATAACTGGTATTTTTACATTGTGAATTAGTGTCATGGTTACTCTTATGACTGTCATTAATTCCCTGCTGGAGAAGGGATGCTGGGAGGACCCACTCACCTGTTATTACATTGCCTCGAATGTTCCCAGCTTTTATGTCGGAACCCTAAAAGGAGAGAGGGGAAAGACTGTGGATTATTTCCTGGGCAGTGATGGTAAAGGCTGACTCTTGCCTTGCTTCACCAACATTGTCTTTAGCAGCTGGCCTTTCTCTGGAAGCAGGATGGAGGAGGGGTGTGGCTGCTTCTGGGAGACTAGTTGGGGGTTGCAAAATGATACTTCAGGGAGCCTGGGGGAGAGGAGACAGATGCAGAGTGTCAAGGGGTGGGAAGTGTCCTGGAGACAGAGACTTGATTTCTGAGGGATCCTGATAGACACCTTCCCAACAGGTTGCCTTAGGCTCACCATCAGCAGCACCTGAGACTGGGTGCAAGGTGTAACTGTTCATGGAACACCTGGCCTGGCTGTCCTTAGCAGCTGGCTAGTTAAGTCATCTTCCTAGGGGAGGACTCTGCTCCCTCAGGATCCTTTAGCCTATGAGGCAAGGAAGCAAAGGGGAGGTCAGGGGAGAGAGTGGACTGCTTGACTAGACTTAGCCACAGCTCTGGGCAGTCTGTTTGGCCTCAGTTTCTCTCTGCTTCCCCCTGCCCTCCTTCCTTCCACTCAGTGTCTGTGGGATAATGAGTTGCTCCTGGAGGCGGGCGCTAATTATTGTTTTTGCAGGACTGCTGGATGCTTAGATGAAAGAGGCTGGAGCCAGGCCCCTGGGTCTGTGCCACAGCTCAGGGGCCCCAGGCCATGCCAGGGAGCCCTGAGGGCCCTAGGTGTGGGGTTTTATAGCTGTAATGATGGTGATTAGCGTGGTTCTTAATTGATTCTGCCAACACCTAACTGTGCCCTGGCCCCCTTTCCACTCAGTCCTTCCTGGGGCAGTCTATGCCTCTCACTCCCTGAAAGTGGAGGCAGGATGGAGGAGTGGTGGGGGGGAGGGAGTGAGGGCTGTACCATGGTTAGCTTATTGGCCATTCTAGGACCTAAAAGGGACACTGATGGGTGGGGACAAGGATCTGACCTCTTCTGCTTTAGGCTATGCTTGTCCACTGTTCATTGTGGGTCTCCTTGCACGTGTCCCTTCTCTAGGCTCAACTATAAGGGTCTAGGTCATTTTCAGTTGGGAGAAGGGGCAGGAAGCTAGAAGGACAGAATCTTACATCATAAGTCCACTGCCTCTGATTTCCTCCATCCTCCCCCCCCCATTCCTGCAGCCTCAGGTGCACCAGGGTAGCCTTCAAATACAGGCTCTTGCATTAATGCCCACTGTAGCCTTCCTGGTGCTTCTCTTAGTGCAATCTCTTAGCTCCTCCACTTTGGGGCCTGCCATTGTCTGGGGCTGGTATCAGAACCAGATGTGACCAGAAGCTGAGATGCCAAGGCTGAGGTGGAAGTAGGATGGAGGTTTGGAGCCTGGAGGATTTTCTTCTTAATGTCTGTCCCTTCCAGAGGGGAAGGTCAGGACCAAAGTAAGCCTAGAAGCACTCTCCCAAAATAGCTCTCTTGACTACCCTAACAAGATGGGGGAGGAGGCAGGGAAGCCCAGCCCAGCAGGCTGCTTTCTCTTCCCTGGCCTCCCCCTCATTCCTCTCCAAGGAAGCCCAGCCAGTGGTTTGTTTAAGCCAAACAATAGCAACCTAGGCTGGCTGTTTCTCTTCAATTTCCCATGAGCTTGGGTCCCACCCAGAGCAATAAGCAGGCTTCTCCCCTCCAGTGAGGGCAGGGAAGCAGTGAGGGTGGGGACTGAGACATCTGTATGGGTCAGGGAGCTGCTGTTATGGAACCAGAGCTGGGCCCATGTGGAAAGAATGACTTGAGACCTTGCTCAGGCCTTGAAGTATCTTCTCACTCACCAGGGCTGCTTGGTTTTACAAAGACTGGATGCAAACCTTTGGGTTGAGCTTCCAGCATCATTCTGTTTGTGTTTCTACTGACATCCTTTGTTACCTCTCTATACCTGTGTTTCACTTGGGTGCTCAGGACGTTTAGCTACTTGGACCAGCCTAAGCTGGTCCCACAGACAGATTCCACTCTTGCTGGCCAGAAGGGTAGAACATGATGGCAGTGGAGCCATATGCAGTGAGTGGGCAGAGTGGCTGTGACTTACTCAGGTTGGGTGAGGGTGGCTAAGTGTCCTTTGGCTGTAATCCCTCCTCAGTTAGTCCCCGAGGGGGACTGAAATTTCTACTGTGGGATCAACATCAAAGAAGCCAAACTCTAAAAGCTGAGAAAATTGGGGACCCAGAGAGGTTAAACAAATTGTCCCAAGCCATTTGAGTAAAGAGTGGGAGAGCTCCAGAATGCTCAGCAAGTGAGGGACCCCGGGACTCTCAAGGCTGACTGATCAAGGTTCAGGCCTTTTAGCCCACATTACTGCCTTGTGCCTTTTCATGACATCTTGACAATATCATAGTTCCACTGGTAAGCATTGTTGTTCCCAGTTAACCATTATTGAATACACAGGCATGTGTATTCAATGGGTGAGGGCATGGCTTGATAGAATGGAGTGCTTAGCATGTGTGGGTCATTGAGCTTAATACCGAGTACTAAACCAAACCGAACAGAACCAAATAGTATCTGGAGGCCTGGGGTTAAAATATCTTGGCAGAAAATCATATCCAGCCTGAAAAGCCGGAACACTGGAAGATGGTCCGGACTCAGTAGTAGAATGTGAGTGCGATGTTGAGAAATGCCAGCTCTGCTCTAGAGGCAAGGCCAAGAAGGGACCCTGATGGGGGTGGGTAGGGACCTGGTGTTGGAGGGGCACAGACACCACACTTGCACTTTTGAAGGAGAACCTGCAAGAGACCAGGGATCCTCAAGAGCCCCCAACTGCCACCTTTAGGCTTCCCTGCTGCCCACCACCTGCTGTCTCCACCTGCTCTGGGAGACTCCAGTTATTCTTGGTCTTCTTTGAGACCCGACAAACCCAGCCCAAACTTCCTTTCCCTTTTTGCACCTGAAGACAGACTGAAATTTTCAAAAAGAACTTTTCTAAATGCTCGGTTAAAAAAAAAAAGAAATAATTATAGAAATCACAAACACCATAGGTGCAGTTGGATTTCTGACAACCCAGGAAGACTAAGAAGCCACGGATGGATAAGCTTTGTAGAGTGGCAGGACTAGGGTCCTTTTAGGCATGTTTGTGTCATGTACCTGGGAGGACATTAGGGAGCCCTCATAAGTGTCAAGGACAGATGGCAACAGATAGAAGCAACTTTTTTCATAACTATTTCCCATTCCTCCTATTCTGGTGAGGGGGACCTATTAAACTGGTGGGTATCCATGGTGGGATGAGGTGTGGGAAACTGCTCTGTAGGGAAGACCCTATGTCTATGTGTACAGGGTGTAAGAGTAGTAATTGCTCTTGTTTCTTAGAAGTTGGCCTTGAGTGCGTACTCGTGTGTGTGTGTGTGTGTGTGTGTGTGTGTGTGTGTGAGAGAGAGAGAGAGAGAGAGAGAGAGAGAGAGAGAGAGAGAGAGAGCACACACGTGCGCGCGCACTTGCTTATGTGACTGCATCTATCTATGTGTGCATGCAATAAAGTGCTGGGTATACACACAACTACCTGGCATAGGAATTCACGTAAATTATAGTAGGGACAGAATCCAAGGCCAGGTGCATTCTAGGCAAGTACTCTACTACTGGATAACACCCCCAGCCCTAGCACAAAGATTCTAATTCCACAGAAGGATCTGGACTCTGGGAGCACATGGGTTTCTCTGCGTTGGTAGACAGGAGGTTTCCTTTTGCTGGTTTCCCTCTCAGCATCCACTGTCCCTCTGTTGAGCTAGCTTAGAACTTGGAAATAGATACTTAGGGGAAAGTTGAGGCTTGTTTGAGAGTCACCAGAACCAGGAAGACTTAAAACATCTTAAAATGCTTCTGATTTGTCTCAGGTTAAGTCAAAAGCATGGTTCTGGAAGCTGGTGTGTGTGTGTGTGTGTGTGTGTGTGTGTGTGTGTGTGTGTGTGTGTGTGTGTGTGTGTGCGCGCGCGTGCGCGCGCGCGCGCGCATGTCTGCCTGCCTCTGTCTTTAGCCACTGTTTACTAATGTTCTGATTCTCCAGGCTACTATTCTGTTGTATGATCACAGCATACTCCCTGAAATGGGAAGATGGAGAGTGGTAGATGATGCAACCAGACAGAAAACAGGGGTTGCAGTCTCTCCAGGGCAGGGTCTGTATCCCATCATCATTGTTCCCCTGGGATGTCTTGCGCATAGTGGGCAGGGATGTTGCTCCCCTGACCTTTGCTACCCCAGTCAGTTCTACTTCTCATCTATACCCTTTGTTTCCTCTTCTTGTGGGGACACTTGTGTGCTGTTCTATCCGAGACCTCTCACTTCCTTTGCTCAGCAAGTCCACCAGATAAAGGCTCAGATTCTTGATTTGGTTCATGAATCTCTCTGGTGGGTGCAAAGGGGACGGACCATTGCAGGTCTCAGCAGAGTTGCTGGCCTGCTGGCTTCATTCTGCTGCAATTACCTACAGCCAACTGGACACCCCCGTGGGGGATTGGTATTCAAAGCTCCAGGTCCTCGGGCTACCTGACCTCCAGGTCGAGAATCATGACACATTTCCTCTAACACTCAGGAGATGTTTTAATCTCTTCACCCACGTCTTCCCATTTCCATGGAGGACTCAATCACTTCTGCCTGATGGGGGATTCCCTCTGGCAGAGGGGAAAGTTTCACTTTTTTATTTCAGGGGGAGTGGAGGGCATCAAAAAGAGCACCAGATTTGAAGGGCAAGGCACAGAGAGATAAGGGAGAGTGGTAGGAGAAATGAGCAACAGAGAGTTCTTGGGTAGAAAAGGGAGAAAGACAAACCCCAAACAAAACAACAACAAAAAAAGGAAACTAGAAACGGAGTCCAGACTGGTGACACTGGCACCGAATGAGAAAGATCCTTGCTGTTTCGCACAGCTGCCTGCAAGCTGCCAAGTGGCAAAGGAGCCAGGAAAAGGCACAACACTGGAAAGTGCTACCCAGCAATCTGTGTATTCTGCAATTAACAAGGGCTAAGTGAGTGGAAGGCATTGACAGCTCCCAGGC